CTCGTCACACGCTGTAAGAGTCCCTCATTTGTTGAGTGTCTGTGTTAAGCACCCCACCCTGATATATCCCTGATGTCCCTCCAGCCCCTGGCATCTGTCAGAACAAAAATCGTATTAGCCAATAATAGAAACTGAGATTTATTTAACATCCGACTTACAAATTGGGGTACCTTTTCAACTATGGAGTCAAAAATCCCAAAGATTAGCCTTGTATTTACATTATCATGGATACGATGCCAGAACAGTGTGTTTATGTAATAACTTACCCTAAAGCACAAGTTCTAGGAGGTCTGGTGGCCTAGTGCCTAAGGCACTTGACTGCTAACCCACCAGCCACTCCTTGGAAGGAAGGTTGGGCAATCTACTTCCGTAGAGATACCACCTCAGAAACCCAAGGAGGGGTCTCTATAAGTCAGGTCAGACTCCACCGCAAATAACAACAACATAGGTTCTAGTCTGACCTTGAAATTTCCGTCCTTGAAACTGACTGCATGTAGGGAGTTAGTCAAAATAACACAATGCCTAAGGTAAAATGGTCTTACTAAGCTACTTACTGGCCATTGTTTGCCAAAAAGGTGACTTTAGGAAACCAGTTTTCTCAGGGCTCAAAGTTCAGAAGGATATCTAAGGGCAGTGGCCTGAGTGGGTCATCCCAGTTCCATGGACCCCAGAAATCTGGATTCTATGAGATGGATTGACACGGTGGCTATGATGATGGGCTCAACTATAGCAGAGATCATGGAGCTGGCGCGGGATCGGGCAGTGTTTCGTTCTGCTGTGCATGGGGTCGCTATGAGTCGGAAACGACTCCACGGCACCTAACAACAACAACAACGAGAATTAAGTTTTTCACATCCCATGAGCACTCCAAACATCATGAACCAAATTAACGCAGGCTCCCCGCTGTCCCCTAAATAGAGCCGTCTGTCTGCCTGTGACACGCTCCCACGGGCTGGGAGTTCACGCCGGCTGACCGAGGATGCGTCCTTGCCAGGATCGGAAGGAAAACTACAACGGACAGCATACCCTACGCGCCGCAGCGTCGACGTAACGCGGCCCGCTGGGAGTCGTGGTTCGCGCGCCTGCGCTGTAGCTCTGACTGCTTCTCCCAGACGTCTTCGCGCGCCGTCCTCCTCGCCCTCCAGGCCGCCTGCGCTCGGCCGGAGTCCGTCCGGCGCAACCAGCATTCTCCGCCTCGCGCCGCCGCCATGCTACCCGCCGCGCTGCTCCGCAGGCCTGGCCTCGGCCGACTCGTGCGCCAGGCCCGCTACTACGCCGAGGCCGCCGCCGCCCCGGCCCCAGCCGCTGGTCCTGGGCAGATGTCCTTCACCTTCGCCTCACCCACGCAGGTTCGGACCCTCGCCGCTTTGGGCGGTCTGGAGTTTGAATCCTCCAACGCCCCGTTCGCTGGACCCCGACCTTCTGCACCCCGGCCAGGACCTCGCATCCCTCTGGTGACTCGCAGTCCAAGCCTCCCTAATTCCTGGGTCTCTGGACCCTCGCCCGCTTCCGCACCTCCAGACCCGCGCCATCGGTCTGTGGTCCCGAAGCCCAGCCCCCGCACCCCTTTCCTCAGCTGCAGAGCCTGGCTCTGCACTCTCGGCCTCTGTGTTCTGTAATCCGAGGACCCCTTCTGGATGGACCCTGGACCCGAGCCGTCCACGCCCCTGTGGTGTGGTTCTGAATCTGACTTCTCCCATCCCTTTTCCTGGTCGCCGCACCCCAGCTGTGCACCGTTGGCCCTTCCTTTGTGGTCCAGAGTCCAAGACCGCTAAGCCCTGGGTCAAGGTTAATGCCTACTGTGTGACCGCCTCTCGTGGGCTGGCTTGCTCTCACTGTACCGTTGTGCCAGTCCCTCGTGGAAGGACCGCGATGACCCCACCAGTCCAGTTTTGTAGGTTAACGGAGAGGTTGGGGGCCCTGCCCCAGCACCAGTGTTGAGGGAGTTATGGGGTCCCAACGCTGGGCCACGTCGATGTCCCCCATCAGCATTCAGTCCTGCCCATTTCAGAGCTTGACAGGCTTGAGGCTGGGTGGTGCAGGGCTGGCCGGCAGCGCCCCACGCCCCATGCCCTTCTCTCCATTCTCCCCAGGTGTTCTTCAACGGTGCCCATGTTCGCCAGGTGGATGTGCCCACCCAGACGGGATCTTTCGGCATCCTGGCAGCCCATGTACCCACACTGCAGGTCTTGCGGCCGGGGCTGGTCGTCGTCCATGCTGAGGATGGCACCAGCACCAAGTACTTTGGTGAGGTGGGGGAGCTGGGCACCCCAGTCCCCCTCCCGGTGAAGTGGGGTTGGCCTGCACGGCTCAGGTGCTGATCTGGGCACCAGTGGGCACACGGCAGGGGACAAAGCAGACACAACCCTACACTTGCCGATTTCCAGCTGGCAGTGGTGGGTCAGCTGATGGGTGCTGGGAGGAGTAAAACCCAGGTGGGAAGGGACGGAGCCTTTAAAGGAGGAAATTCCTACGTGTGTGGGGAAACCAGTGCCGTTTGCCTCTGCAGTCAGGGAGGTGGGATGTGAACCCAGCTCCACCTAGCACCTCGGCTGGTGGACTGGAAGGTCCTGTCCAATGCGCCAGTGCTGGTTCCTGGGTTTTGCCTCTTCTATGCTGTGTCCTCTTTCTGAGTGTCTTTGCTGTTTCTCTCTCGTGACTCCTGATCTTGAGTCCAGTTCTGTGGGAACCACCCCAGGCCAGGGCTGTTAAAGAGTATTTGGAGACATGGTGTACCAGAATCTCATAGCTGCTGTTCAGCATGGGGTTCTGGGGTCAGCCATGCTGACGGGGACACTGAACCCTGGTGTCTCACGGGCTCCCTTCTACACTCCCCACAGTGAGCAGCGGCTCGGTCACAGTGAACGCTGACTCCTCCGTGCAGTTACTGGCCGAGGAGGCCGTGACCTTGGACATGCTGGACCTGGGGGTGAGTGTTGGGTGAGAACCTAAGGCAGGCAGGGGCAGGCACTGCCTCCCACTCTCGCCTTCACTCACCTCCTCTCCCCACTCTGTAGGCAGCCAAGGCAAACTTGGAGAAGGCGCAGTCAGAGCTGTCAGGGGTGGCGGACGAAGCCCAGAGGGCCGAGATCCAGATCCGCATCGAGGCCGGCGAGGCCCTGGTGAAAGCCCTGGAGTAGGGGTGTGTGCTCTGTGGCTCAGGGGGACCCGAGGCTGGGCAGGGAATGGCACATCCCTGCAGGTAGAGCCAGCTCTCTGGGACAAGGCTGACTGCACAGGCTAGAGAACCCTTCTCGGCTCTGACCTGTGGGGCTCCCTTGCCCCCAGCACTCCCTGTAGCCTAACAGCCGCCTACCACCCTTTGCCCTTCAGTGGCAGACACCAGGACCCTGCTCTCCTGATTGCCATAGGACAAACATTCCCACCTGTACCCCAATTAAAAACCAGGAACTCCACTGTGTGTTGCTGTGTGATTTCTGCCTGGGTGCAGGCAAGCTAGGACCCTCAGTGGCCCCTGTGAACAGGAATAGATGTCAGTCTCTGGACCTCCAGGTGTGCTGGCTACAGAGGACAGCACGGGGGCCAGGTGGGGTACCAGCCCTGACCCCAGGAGTGGGTCGGGTGAAGGTTGCCAGCCAGGATGAACCCCAGAGGTGGCAAGGCCACCGCTCTCAAGGCATTGCATGGCTGCCTGGGATCCCTGCCATGCTCTGGTTGCAGACTCGCGGCAGGACTGCACAACTCCCCGGAGGGCCTCCGGCCTCCGCTGGGAAGAGGCAGGGCCCGCCCTCTCCCTTGGAGACCCCACCCTGGGCACACCCACTATGGGTGGACCAGCTTGGCCAGCAGCCTGTGCCCTGGGGGTGTGGCGGCCCCAGATCAGATGGAGTGAGCCTGAAGGCAGTGGGCTGCAGCCCCTGCCCCTCCTGACACTGACACTGTAGGTCAGGGATGTCCCTGCCTCTCCTCACACCACAGCTGAGTCCCTGGGGCTCTCGGGCTGGTCAGGGAATTCCAGGGGAGTGAGTGTGTTCTAGCCCAACCTCCCTGTGTGTCATCAGCAGCTGGGACAGTGGCAGGAGGCCACCGGGGGGGGAGGGCACATGCGTGCCATGTCCACTGTGCTCATGAGTGTGTCACTGTCCCGTGTGAGTGACTGTCACCACCATGGGTGTGTACGGGGTCTTGATGGGGGTAAAATGGGTACCTGTTGGGGATGTGGGGCAGGTCTTGTCAGTGGGGCACTTTACCACTCTCCTGGGAGCACCAGCTCCTGCTGGTGCAGCCACTGTGTACCGCACCGCGCCCCCCCCCCCCCAACCAGAAGCCTGAGTCCCTGATTTCTTGGCCCTGCCACCGCGGTGCTATAAATAAGACCAAGGATGGGCTGGGCCTGAGGCCCAGAGACAGGAGACCTTTGCCGGCCTCAAAGACCAGCCCACTGACACTGGGCTTGGTCCCTGCCGAGGGACGCTGCTGCTCTCAGACAAGGCTAACCCAAGGACCCAGGATCTGCTCTTGCCAGCTTAGCCACCCTGAGCATGTCACGGGTAGGACCTACTCTGAGGAGTCAAGAAGGCGCCCGTCAGCGACGGTGAAACCAGTAAACGCTGGCACCAGCCTCGGTAGGAACCGTTGGAACAGAAAACACATTTATTGGGTTTGAGCTGCTTTTCCTCAGCTTCAGATCCCCCTCACCTATCAAAGCACCCCCCCCTCCCCACCAGGCCCATGCCTGACCCCCGACGACCTACGACATGTGGGGCCTTGGTTCCTAAAGCTCTGTTGCATTCCCCAGACAGCTGAGATCAAGGGGTGGTGCCCCAGAAGCCTGCCCACCCCACATGCAGGGGACATGGGCTGGGGCTGCCCACCTTGAGCCACTGAGCCACTCACTGAGCTGGGTTCCAGAGGGCTCTCTTGGCTATATCTGGATTCTTTTTGGGATCTGACAGCCCCAGACCTGCCCGTGCCACTCAGCACTCTTCCAGGCGACCCTTGACCCCCAAAGCTCAGCACACACCTTCCTCTTGTGCAGAAAAACTCCCTGTTCATTCGTCCAATCCCCACCCCAGTGACCCCTTCCAAGGCCTCTGGCTCTCCCTGTCTCCCTGGAGCCCAGCCTGACCCATGGGCCTAGGAGTGTCTGGGTGTGTCTAGGGAGCACCCTGCTCAGGATAGGGGACCAGAGGCTGCAGGGCATGTTGGGTGGATGCAGGAAGGAGATTTGGGAAGGAGCAGCCCTAGGCCAGGTGGGGGTGGGGGTGGGGGGTGGTGGTGGTGGTGGTGGTGTGTCAGCCCAGCCAAAGGAAGGGCCTTGACCGGGTAAGTGGACATGGGGTGGGGAAAGAAGACCTTGAGGTCTTCCATCCCTTGGCAACTTGGAGAAAAAAAATGGAGGCAAAGAACTGCAACATGCCTTGTTCCCACCTGGATTGGTTTCCCCCTGGAAACCGAAGTCAATAACGACAATGTTCGCCGAGTATAGGTGAGGGTGCCAGGAGCCCAGCTGGATCCTCATTTAACTCCCTGGCTACTGAGAGAAACTGGGGTTCAGACAGACCCTTCTTCCGCAAGGTCACACAGCGCCGCCAGGTCGTGACCGGAAGGACACAGGGCGCGCCAGGCTTGGAGTAATACTTGAACGAATGCCCTCTGAGGTCACCGTTAAGGGATGCGGGCCACAGCAGCTGGCTGGGGCACCCATACTCGGCGCAGGTGACTCTTGCCTGTTTTCCTGGACGCCTGCAGCTGACTCAGGCCCCCCTTCCCGCCCCGCCCCCCACGCGGAAGCGCCGGGCGGTGGAGGGCGGGGCGGGGCCCCCGCTCGGCACCCGAGAACGTCCTGGGGCCGAGTAGGAGCCCAGGTCGTGGGCGCGGCCGGCCCAAAGCAAGGCTCAGCGGCGCTCTACGTGCAACCCCTACCCATTTAAGGGACGAGGCTTGGGTGGCTGGAGGCCCAGGCCCCACGTCGCCCCGGGGCCCTGACCAGCGGCAGGGGCGGGGGCTGGCCTGCGTCAGCGCCTGCTCCGGCCCCCGCCCCCTGCCCGTCTAAACTCCACCCCGAGGGAAGGCGGGAGGCGGCGCGGATAAAGGCTAGGGGCCGCCCGCTGGGCCCCAGACCAGCCCCGCCACAGCTCACTCTGCCCCGGTCGTGGGGACATTCGGGATTGTGGGCACTTAGGACCAGCCGCGCCCGGTGAGTAAGGGGCGGGACCGTGCGGACCAGGGTGGGGGACTCTAGACGAGGCTCTGAGAGAAACCCCTGCGCCTCTTTGTTCTGGGGTCAGGCAGGGTTATGGGCTCCTCCAGCCTAGGACACCCTGGGAAGAGGGGGTGGGGCTCCCCCAGCCAGCACCGCCTGAGGTGCACCTCAGCCCCCGCCCCGCCCCGCCCCCTGGGCTCTTCCTCACCCCACGAGTGACCTTGAGCTGGTGGCCTCAGTTTCTCCGGCTGCGCGGCATCAGTGCCAGGCCTTGGACCCTAACGGGGCTCCACCTCCGCCCGCAGGGCCGTCTACTCTCCCCCTCCCCCGCCAGCCGCTGCGCCCCTTCCCCAGAGGCTCGGGGCTGCGGTCCCGGGCGGCGCCGGCAGAGGGAGCGCTGGCGCTGCTGACTCACCGCAGCCTCCAGCGGCGCAGGCGGGCGCAGCCGGGGACGCCGCGTCACGTCACGGCCCGGCCCGGGGAACTAAGGTGGGGAAGTTCGAGGTAGTACCGGCCCGGGAGGGGCTCTCAACTCGGGCCTAATCAATCACCAGGAGCCGGGGCCCGCCCTCCGCCCCGCCTTCCACACCTCCCCGTGGGGAGGGAGCGCGGGCCGGGCCAGGTTCTCTCGAGCCTCGAACCACGAGGCGCGGGCTCTGTTCTAGCTTCCGCTCACAGCTGCTTCCCGGACCGACGCGCCGGGGCGGTCCCGCGACTTCCTTTGCTCCCTGGGCGGGCGCGCGAACAATGACCCGCGCCCACTCCCCACACCCACTCTCCACGCCCCTACCCTCCTGGGGGAGGGGTGCCGGCAGACAGTCAGGGTTCCCAGCCCCGGGGCCTGGCTAGCCCTTTGTTGCGGGCGCCGGCCCTTATGAATGGCCGGGGGGAGGGGGGGTCGCGGGGGCGGCCCGTAGCGGCGCCAGCCCCGCCCCATCCCTCTCCCCTTGGTCACCCGGGCGCCGGGGGCGGGACGAAGGCGGGCCCACCTGCCACGTGGGAGAGCGCACGAGCGGCGCTGATTGGTTACATTGGGCGGCCGTCAGGCCGGTGATTGGGCGGCCAGCGGCCGCCGGAGTAAGTAGTGAATGGGAGGGGGCGGCGGCCCCGCCCCTTCGAGCGTTGATACATTATAACTTTTTTTTCTTGTTACTTTCACCCCCAGATCCTCCGAGCGGCGGCAGCGACGGTGGCGGTGGCTGTTGCTAAGGGAAGGGACGCGAGCCATCGCGGCCCAAGAGCAGACGGTACCGAACGCGGCCAGCCGGGACGCGGCGCCTCCTCTCGGATCACCCCCGCGCCAGGCCAGCCTTGCAGCCCCCAACCCCGGAAGGTGCTAGGACGACGCGACCCGGAGGAACATTCGGATTTGGAGTTTGGATTGGCCTGCCTGTGTTGGGAGCTTCTCAGAAGGGATCCCAGCCCGCCAGCTCCCGGATTAGCCTGTTTCGGGGTGATCACTGCGTCTCCCCCGAAGGCGCAGAGAGGATTGGCGGCGCCCCGCGGACCCGCGAGCACTGCTCTCCGGCAGCGGCAGCGCAGCCCCCCAGCGCGGGCCGGGGATGGAGCCGCAGCCCGGCGGCGCGCGGAGCTGCCGGCGCGGGGCCCCCGGCGGCGCCTGTGACCTGGGCTCAGTGGCTGAGGTGGCACCCATAAGCTTGGCCATCCATAGCACGACGGGTACCCGCTACGAGCTGTCGGTGCCGCCCGACGAGACAGTAGACGGGCTGCGCAAGCGGCTGTCCCAGCGCCTCAAAGTGCCCAAGGAGCGCCTGGCGCTCCTCCACAAAGACACGTAGGTACCGCGCGCCGCCCCCGCCCCGCCGCCCCTTCGGGTCTTGGCCCCCGGGCGGGAACAAAGAGCGCGCCGCGCAGGGAAGGAAGGGGGCGGCCAGACGAGGGGCGGGGGCGCGCCGCGCGCTCTCGGGCGCCCTCTGCTCGGCCTTGCCTGCCCGAGCCCCCTCCCCCGCCCGGGGTCGCTGCACAAAGGCAGGTTCGAGGGGGCTGCTCCAGCCCGGCTTAGGCAGTTCCCTGGGGAAAAAGCAGGAATCCTGGGGCTGTGCGGGGGCCCTGACTGCGGGGGTGGGGGCGCATCCGCCCCCTCCCGTGCCTGCACCCTGGTCGGCTTCCGCATCTGCTCACCGGTCCCCTCAGCGTTTGTCTGCCACCACCACCCCGCGTCTCTAGCCCCCCTTTGTTCTCGCCACCGAGCGTTCCCGCAAGCTCCCCCTCCCGCTTGGTATTTAAATCGCCTCCAGGCCGGGGAACCCTCCCCCCGCGGGCCTCCGGGGACAGCAGTGTCCATCCCCAGCGGAGGGGCCCCTGTGGGGGAGGGGCGGGAGGGGGAGGGTCTCCTTTGTCTGAACAGTGGCGGTGGCGGCCTGCGCCAGGGAGGGAGGAGGGAGGAAGGGAACCCGGCCTGGCGCGGCTCCTGAAGGCTCCTCCTAGGCCGAGGCCCTGTAGCGCCCACAAAGATGGCCTTGGGCCTGAGTTTGCGGAATTGTAGGCCCAGGCTGGCCTTGGCGGGAGGGGGCAGCAAAGGGCACCAGGGGGGAGGGGAGCCGATGACAAAGTGCCTTGTTGAGGTTTAAAGAGGTTCTTAATCCAGAGTTGGGGCTTCTGGGGTGAAACGGGTCTAAGTGCCAGGGTGGCGGCTGCCAGTGCCAGTAGACGTCTCCTTGAAGGTGACTCTTGGTCTTGACTCGCCGGCTAGGAAGGGGTGGTAGTTGGGGTGGTTACCACTAATCAGTCATATACGCACACACGGTCACACACAAATGCACACACGCCCAGCCCCCCTACTTCCTTGTCCCTGGGTCGTCTCCTGAGACTCACCTCTTCCTTCCTCCCCCCAGCCGGCTCAGTTCGGGGAAGCTGCAGGAGTTCGGCGTGGGGGATGGCAGCAAACTGACGCTGGTGCCCACGGTGGAGGCTGGCCTCATGGTAAATGGCCTGTCCAGGGTGGCCTAGGGGCCTGACACAGCTGGCAGTCCCTTCTTGTGCACTCACACAGCTCTTGTCACAGTGCCTGGGGCCCCCTCCCGCCCATCCCAGTTTCTCCCAGGCATTCTCCCCCATCCCCCTCAGCCAGTAAGCCCACTTGCAGGGCCCACTCTCAGGCGCTGTCCCCTTCCTCTCTGTAGTCCCAGGCCTCACGTCCGGAACAGTCAGTGATGCAAGCCCTGGAGAGCTTGACAGAGACCCAGGTAAGACCCTCACTGGCCCTTCCCTCACTAGGGCAGAGGTGGGGGATACCCCTGGGGACTGATGTGACACCTGGGGAGCACTTGGGGGGCTATTCATGCTCCCAGCAGGTCTGTGGGCGAGGGAAATGGATGCCCCGCCCCCATGCCAGCCTGGCCTGAACACCCTGCCTACTCCTCCCCCCATTAGCTTTACCACCTGACCTTGAGGGTTTTCTCTCCCACGGTGCCCATTGGGAGGGAGCAGTGCTTTCACACTGCCTGCCTCGGAGTGACCTTGGCCCACTCCCTCCCCCCAGCACGGCCCAGTCCTGCACGCCCCCGCTGCCCCCACTGCCCCCACTGCGGCTTCTCCAAAGTGCAGCTGAGGTGGTTTTTTTTTTTTTTCTCCAGATTTTGCTGGGTTGCTGGGTGGAGGGAGGGGAACAGGAAGTGAAGGGCCCGCCTGGGTGACACCTCCTTCCGCCTGCTGTGACCCTGTTGTGGAGGGTGGGGAGCCACCTCCTCCCCCTCCCCCTCTGCCCTTTGTTCTCAGCCCCGTGGGGGCGGGGGTGTCTGTGCCAGGCAGTGGGGTACTGACAGGATGTTAGGAAATTATTTAGTAACCTGGGAAAAGCAGTGTTGGGGGTGCCATGGTGGCCCCCACCCGGGGTCCCAGTTTTGTTGCGACTTTTTTTTCCCCCTTCATTTTTGGGCGATGGCGGTCCTCTCCCCTGAGCAGGCCCTGGCCACCTCCCAATCGGCTGACACAGGCAATCCCGCCTGCTGCCAGGGTGGGGGAGCAGCCGAGGGGGCGGGAAGGTTCCCGGGCCTCCCCAGCCAGGCCCTCGGGAAACCTGCTTGGCCACTTCTTTGGGGAAGGAGGGTTCTTGCTTCCGTGCCTGGCTGCTTGCCCCCTCCCCAGCATGTAGGATCCTGCCCGAGTCAGCCACCATGGAGGAGAGGGGGCTTCGGGGAGCTGGGTGGTCTGCCACCAGGTTGGAGGAGCCAGGGGTCCCGGGCGCGCCTGGCTGCACGTGACTTCCTGGGGCTAGTGTAGACAGCTCTCCAAGTGCTGGGGGGAGGCTGCGGTTGGCAGGGGGCCCCCGCGGGCTGGGTTCACATCCGCCCCGGGGTGCCTGCGTCAGGAGGTGGGGGGGCGCTGGGCGGAGTGACTGGGCTCCCCAGGGCTGTTTCCTCGCCTGGCACAGAGTCATGCCCGCCGCCCGCACGCCCTCCCCAGGGAGGAAGTTGCAGGGTGGAGGACCCCAGCTGCTCCTGGGAAGCCACCTCTAGGCTCTTCCTGCAAGGGGTGTCTCTGGGCCAGGGGTCTGGCAGCGGGGTTGGGACCGCGCCCTGCCCCCTCCCCCCCTTCCCACAGCCCCCTTGCAGAGACGCTGGGTGGAGAGCCGAGCAGGAGGCACTGTGCTCTGAGTCATCCCAGGCTCTGTCACTTCTCAGAAACCTCCACCCCCCCCTCACGGCCCCTGGGGAGAACAAGGCTCCGGCCAGTCCCCAGAGGAGAGGGGCTTTAAAACCACGGGGCGGGGGGAGCAGATGTGCTGCCACTCACGCACCCACCACGGGCCCCCAGCGAAGGGGAGGCCCATCTGAGGGTTCATCTTCTGAGGAGCTGGGGGCCTGGAAGACTCGGGCTCTAGGGAGCGGGTCAGGCAGGGCCCCCTTCCCCTGGGTGGCGCCACCCCTCAGCCTCCGCTCCGCCCAGAACAGATAAATATTTATCTTGAGAAAGCAAAGGTTAAGAAGGAAGAATTTGTGCAGGAATTCCGCCCACTCACTGACTGGGTGGCTTAGCTGGGAGGGGGCTGAGGCAGGCCCCCTTGCCTCCACGTTCTCGGGCACCAAGAATTTGGGGCTAGAGAAGGCGGGGTAGCAGTGTGAGGTGTGGGTAATGCCAGGACAGGCACCTCTGGCTGGGCCCTGCCCCCTCTGGCCTCTGTTTTCCCTTGAAGCTCCAAGCTGGCCAGGGAGGGCCAGGCCCTCATCTGATCCGCCTCTGTCCCCCCACAGCCCCATGCGGCACCCGGGCCGGGCCGGGCTGGCGGAGGCGGCTTCCGGAAATATCGATTCCTTTTATTTAAGCGTCCGTGGCACCGACAGGGACCCCAGAGCCCAGAGAGGGGCGGCGAGAGGCCCCAGGTCACGCAGCACGGGGGACTGGGCTGGGCCGGGCTGGGGGCACCGCTGGCAGGGGCCCTGGGGCTGACGAGCCGTGCTCCCTGTGCAGGTTAGTGACTTCTTGTCGGGCCGCTCGCCGCTGACACTGGCCTTGCGTGTGGGCGACCACATGATGTTCGTGCAGCTGCAGCTCGCTGCCCAGCACGCACCCCTGCAGCATCGACACGTGCTGGCGGCCGCAGCGGCCGCCGCAGCCGCAGCCCGCGGAGACCCCAACGTGGCTACCCCTGTGTCCTCACCTTGTCGGCCCGTGTCCAGCGCCACCCGTGTCCCCCCGGTGCCCAGCAGCCCTACGCCTACGTCCCCCTCACCTGTCACAGCCGGCTCCTTCCGATCCCACGCAGCCTCCACCACCTGCTCCAAGGTAAGTCTGAGTGAGGGCTATGCTTGGAACCTGAGGGGGGTGAGCTATCCCTCGACTCTGGGAGGGAGTGTGCTCAGAGCCCCAAATTCGTCCATTTCTCCAGGTGCTTGCTAGGTCCAGACCTCAGGGTGATGGGGGTGGGTGATCCCCAGCCCTTGCACTGGGGGCTTTTCTCAGGCTGTGGGCCCACAGGCTATTAATGGATCCTGGATTAATGAGCCATCCTTTGACCTTGACCCCCAGGTCATTCTTACACCCCAAGTTCATAGCCCTTCTTTCTCACCAGCAGATGGACTGTTCCCCCCCTGCCAGCAGCAGTCCCAGCACCACGTCCACCCCAGGGGGCAGCCCCACCCCCCGTCCTCGCAAACCTGGCGCTGTCATCGAGAGCTTCGTGAACCATGCCCCCGGGGTCTTCTCAGGGACCTTCTCCGGTAGGTGTCTTGGCACCCGTGTGCTCATGCATGTGTCTGCATGGACTGTGGGTCAGTCTTCTCTAAGCAGACACAGGCCCTCACCAGGTCCTCAGGAACACCCACCTGTGCATGTCTGGTCACATGGAATTAATTCTCAGGCCATTCTTGTCTGCATACGGGTGATTGTGTGTACTTAGGAGTTGACGTGTGTCCCTGTAGGCAACTGTTGAGACCATATAAGTGACCTCGTCATGTGCTGACTCCCTGCTTGGGAGTCTGTACACACGTGACTCTGCAGTTGTGTCACGTGTGCCCATGTGGTTCTCTGTGCTGAAGCCATGTATGTGACTGCATGTGTCCATGTGTTGATTCACCTTCATCAGGAATCTGCACACATGTGACCGTACATGTTTGTGAGATCACATGTCGGTTGTAGGAGATTTCACGCTACGAGTCCACAGACATGACTGTGTCGTATGCTCATTCACCCCCTTAAAGCCCCCCACCCGCACATACATGTGACTTATGCTTGTGTGCTCATGTGTTCACCACGCTCTCTCCACCGTAGGCACGCTACACCCCAACTGTCAGGACAGCAGTGGGCGGCCACGGCGCGACATTGGCACCATCCTACAGATCCTCAATGACCTCCTGAGTGCCACTCGGCACTACCAGGGCATGCCCCCCTCGCTGACCCAACTGCGCTGCCATGCCCAGTGTGCGCCTGCCACACCGGCCCCTGACCTCACCCCCAAGTCTACCTCCTGTGACAAGCTGCCTGCCACGCCCCCAGCCTCCCTGCTGCAGGGCCAGAGCCAGATCCGTATGTGCAAGCCGCCAGGCGTGTGCGCACCAGGTGAGTGTCCTCTGCCGGCCGCCATCTCAAAGCCCTTCTGTCAGCCCAGGGTACAGCAGCTGACACGCCGGGCTGGGGGCGCCAGCTGCCACTTCTCCTGCCCAGCTCAGGCAGCAGAGAAGGGAGCATGTGTGCTGGGGCACAAAGTGCCCTTGTCTACACCCAAGGGGGTCCCTCCTCACTTCCTTCTCAACCCTCCCCCCCGAACCCTGTCCAGATGGCGTTCTGAGCCACCATGAATGGCCAAGTCAGGCCCAGCAGAGTGAGGAGAGTGCCAGCGCCCACAGGCTGCCTCCCCACCTGCGTGCAGGCAGCCTGGGCCCCACTGACATGGCCACTCCCCGATCCTGAATCATCTGTTCACTGCCCACCAGTGAGCACCCTACTTCATAAAAGCAGGGGTCTTTCCTGAGGTCACAGAGCAGCAGAAGGACTCGAACTCCCATCCTTTGACCCAGCGCCCATTTTGTTAATGCCACGCTCGGGCCAGGCACTGAGCAGTACCAGGGGGAGAGGGGAGCAGGCCTGCCGCCGTGCCCTCCCAGGAGGCACTCTGGGTTCAGCCAAGGGGTCTGGCAGCAAACACGTTGAGGAACTAGAGTGAGCCAGGCCCAGGCCCGAGCTCTCTCGAGGCGTGAGTGTCCGTTCCTCCTTTATGACTTTCAGTGTTGCAAACATATACGACTTCAGATTGGCTGTTTTAGACACTTTCAAGCAGACAATTCTGTGGCAGTAATTCAATGCACAGTTAAGCACTCACCAAAATGTTGGAGGGTTGAGTCTACCCAGTGGTACCTCAGAAGAAGGACCCCGACACAACTACTCAAAATCAGCCCCTGAAAGCCCTCAGGAGCACAGTTGTGCTCTGACACGGAGGCTGGCCATATTGACCGTAAGTCGGAGCCACTCAATGGCTGCTGGTTTTTATTACCTTCACCCATTGTGCAGCTATCACATAATCCAAAACCTCTCTCTGTCCCCAGACTGAAACACCGTGCCTTAAAGCTGTTCCTTCTCTTCATTCCTTGGCACCCTCTGACCTACTTGGTTTGTTCTCTGTGCATTTGTTCTGAATACACCTTATCAGTGGCATTATGTGTGACAGAAGGAGCCCTGGTGGCGCGGTGGCTAAGCGCTCAGCAGCTGCTCGAAAGGTTGGTGCTTTGCACCCACCCAGCAGCTCTTGGGGAGAAAGCCCTGGCCATCTGTTGTAAAGACAGTCTAGGAAGCCCTGTGGGGCAGTTCTCCATCACGCAGGGCTGCTGTGACTTAACAATGGACCCTGCAGCACCCAGCAATGCCACATGCTTTGTGCATGTTGGTGATGCAGTGGACACTCAGCGAGAGACACTTGACTGTCCCCACAGGGACAAGCACCCAGGCAGGCAAAGGCATTGCCTGACACACACGGCACATCCTCTGAAAGTTGGGGTCCCTGGGAGTCACAGCCACTCCCTCTGTTGCAGGGGACCGGCTGCGGCAGACAGAGAACCGCGCCACGCGCTGCAAGGTGGAGCGTCTGCAGCTGCTGCTCCAGCAGAAACGGCTGCGCCGGAAGGCCCGGCGTGACGCCCGTGGCCCCTACCACTGGCCACCCAGCCGCAAGGCCGGCCGGAGCGACAGCAGTGGCGGTGGGGGCAGCCCCAGCGAGGCCACTGCCCTAGGCCTCGACTTTGAGGACTCCGTCTGGAAGCCGGAAGTGAACCCTGATATCAAGTCTGAGTTTGTGGTGGCTTAGGAAGCGGCACCCTCTCCCCTCGCATCCTGGTGGCCAGGGACCCTGAGCGCGGAGCGGCCGGCGGGAGCTCCGGCCCTGAGCCCCCACCCCGTGGTCTGCTCACAGCAACCTTTTCCTTTTCTATGACTCTCACCGTAGATCCTGCCTCCTCAGCCTCTTCACATGCGCCCACCTCTTTCTTCCTCCAGCTCCCGGTCCCTTCCCGCCCACCTCCCCTCCTGAGCTCCAAGTATGTAGCATCCTTCCAGATGGCTGAGCGGGAAGGCGACAGAGGAAGCCACCCCCACCCCTTCCGCTCCGCCTCCTCCGCTGCCTCCACCCCATTCAGGTTTAAAGTCACAAATTCTCGATGCCTCATGCACTTTACGGGGGAGGGGAGGGGAGGGACCTAGAGACCCCATCCCACCCCCTCCGCAAGCTTCAGGCCAGCAGGCCCGCCAAGTTTAAAAGGAGAAATCCACACAAGGACCCCACCAGGCCTCTTGAGCCCAGTGGGGACTGCTCTTCACACATCTGTCCCCCTCCCTTCTTTCTTGATCTCTTCATTGTCTCTTGGAAGCAAAGTAAAGCTGTTGCAGGGGTGAGGCCTAGGACCTGCCTCGGGTTCCGGCAGGAACCATGGGCCCTCCTGCCTGGAAAGGAACTGAAAGGAGTGGGAACAGAAGTCCCGCTCTGCTTTCGCACGGCCCACTCACTGTGCTATTTCCTCCTAGAACACCACCCTCTGCCCCCACCTCTCTTTTTCTGACCTCCTGCCTGAGCTTGGGGTATTTATAGACTATTAATTTCTGACTGAGCCAATAGTGGGTTGGGGATCTCTTGGAACCCAGGAGAACAAATGGCTGGGGTCTGGGGACACACCCCACCCCCCCTTCCAGGCCTGTCCTGAGGGACTGGGGACTATGGACTGCTTCTGGGGGCGTTCTCTACAGTCTGGAGGGGGTGGGGGTGCTGAGCTGTGAACCCCTGGGCAGGGGCAACGCTGTGTAGCATTAACCCCCTTGGGGGGGGGGTCGCTGCTGGTCTGATTTGGACCCTCCCCACTCAGTGCCCGGACCCTGGGGGTCTGCAGGTCCCCCCAGGGCAGTAGGACAAGCCTCTGACTGGGGCCATTTCAAAGTGGGTGGACTTTTTTTTTTTTTTTTTCTTTCCCCAATTCGTTGTTTGTTTGTTTTTTA